AAAAGATAACAGATGGCCATAATAATGATCATGTTACTAAGTTTTGATCTTGGTAATACAACTTTCCATTTTGTCTGGTTTTGTTGCAATATCCCCATATAATGTTGTAATATTGCATAAAAATAATGTAATATTTACACTGAATATAATAATTGCATAATTTTTGTGCAATTTTTATGGGACCCAATGTAAACTTACACAAGTAGTGTAAATTCACATCAGAAAAAATTTCTTGATGTATTCAAGAGTTAGAAATCAATTCAACATGTCAAATAAAAACTGAAGAACTGAGTGAAATTTTTATGTGACATAATGTTCACTTTGTTGCATCACATAACTATTGTTATTCACTTGCACTAATAATCAATTAAAAATGTAATGTATCATATAGATTCAATTTTTAAAGCTTGCATTAAATTGATTTAACCATAAATGGATATATTCCACAAATCTTGGGCACTGATTGGTTGGGGCGTTTACTCGCACAAAATTTTTATGATCGGTTAGTATTACAATGTACTAGGCTCTATTCTATTCTGTATGCATGCGACGATACTCAATCAAATTCGACATACCAAAAGACTATCTGTCTATCACAACAATCAAATTCTTCCCAAAAAAAAAAAATCTTATATTATAGAATAAAAAAAAAATATTTAACTCAAGTAATTAATTAAATATTTATAGTAAAGAAAATCATGGAGCCTTCCTCATTACCAACTTTTGCAGGGCGTAAAGTTTCATCGTTAAGGGGGACTTCACGAATACCATCTCCATACATAGCTAATAATACTAATAATAAACTACAAATGATGCTACAACCAGATGAAGAAGAAGAGGAAGAGTTGCCGATTTATAACTCATCGCCAAATCGGCGTCCAATGAACGCATACGGTGTGCCATCACGACATTCCTCACATTCCTCGAGAGGCGGCTCGTATTCATTATCTATAAAACCAAGTAATCTTAACGATAAGATCCGTGTATGTGTTCGTAAAAGGCCTCTTAGTAAAAAAGAACAAAATAGAAATGAGAAAGATATTGCTGTTGTTAATGGTCAAAGAACTATTCAGATTCATGAACCAAAGTGAGATATACTTTTGTTATTATTATTATACACATTTGTCTATTTATTGCAATTTTAATTAACTATTTAATGTGATAATGATAGTGATTTGGTTTAGTTGATTTGGTTTAATTAATTTAATTAACTTTTTTTTTGAATTTTTACGTATATATTATAACTTAAATAACTTAAAATAAATAAATAATTGATTAATTAGAGTGAAAGTAGATTTGACTAGATATGTGGAACAACATACATTTATATTTGACGATGTATTTGATTCTGATGCAAATAATGAAGAGGTTAGAATTAATATCTACTATTATAAATTTAAATTTAAAAAAATAAGTAAAAAAATTAGAATTAAGAAAGTGCGTGACAATGAAAATATTATTTATTTATGTTGTGTAGGTTTATAAAAGAACTGCTTTGCCATTGGTTGAATATATTTTTCGAGGTGGAAAAGCAACATGTTTTGCATAGTATCCTTTCGACATATACATACAATTTAAATCATGTTTTATATTTATTTTATTTGAAGGAGAAAAATTGAATTCCTTTACTCTGAACTTTCTTTTTTTTTTTGATTAATTTCGAACCAGCGGACAAACAGGTTTGATTTAATTTTTAAATTATGTTTATTTTGAGCGATAAATGTTTTTATTTAAAAACGATTGTTATTAAATTTATTAGGTTCTGGAAAAACGTTTACTATGCTTGATGAAAAAAATGGTAACTTTTACGGGGTTTTTTTTTATTATTTCAATTAAATCAAATTTTCTGATAGTTATCAATAATAATAAAATTTTCTTGATGTAAATAGGTCTTTATGTAAAAGCAGCACGAGACATTTTTGCATTATTACAAAAGCCAGATTTTAGTTATTTAGCAGCCTATATAGGATTCTATGAAATTTATCAGGGGCAGTTGTATGATTTGTTAAATCAACGAAAAAAATTATATGCAAGAGAAGATGGCAAGAAAAATGTAATAATAACAGGACTTCAAGAATATGCAATCGATAATGTTGATAATTTGATGCAAGTTTTCGATTATGGAAACAATATTCGTAGTACGGGTAAGTAGGTGACTATGGTGTTGTTGTGTGACTATAATTATTTATTATCATTATCATTAATTTATAAAAAAATTTTTTTTTGTAGGAGCAACTGGCGCGAACGAAGATTCATCTCGATCACATGCTATCTTACAAATGGTATTAAAACACAAGAAAAACAGAAAGAAATTTCATGGTAGTTATATTAATATATGTGTGCGTGATTAATATAATTCATTAATATATTAAACAATTACACATTTACTATTGTTATAGGAAAATTAAGTTTTATTGATTTAGCAGGAAGTGAGCGAGGTGCAGATAGAGGAGAAGCTGATAAACAAACAAGGTACATGGATCCCCAATTAATTGAATACTTCAGATTATTAGTATTCATTTTGAGTAGAAGGAATGAATGTGTTATTGTGTGTATAGATGTATTTGTGTGTGAAATCGATAATAACAGCTTGACGAAATAATTGTGAAAAAAAATTTTTATTGTAGAATGGAAGGCGCAGAAATTAATAAAAGCTTATTGGCATTGAAAGAATGTATTCGAGCACTTGATCAAGATAAAAGACATACACCTTTTCGACAAAGTAAACTTACGCAGGTTTGTAAATATTAAAGATATTGGACAGGTTTCTTATGATAATAACAACAAAAATAACATTTATTAATTTTTGCTAACAGGTGCTGAAAGATTCGTTTGTGGGCAATTCGAGAACTTGTATGATTGCAACGATTTCACCAAACGTCACCAACAGTGAACATACATTAAATACATTAAGATACGCGGACCGGTAAAATAAATTTTACAAAAATAAAAACAAAACATGAGTTTTTTAGTTGTTGTTTAAATATTTCAAATTATTAATTAAAATTTATTCCACCCACGCATATATACACACACATATATAAAGTGTTAAAGAATTAAAATCAGAAAGAGATCGAGCAGACAGAGTCGCAGCAGGACTTGAATTGGCAGCAAGTGAATTGAACGATTTATCTGAAGAGCAACGGCAAGAATATTACAAACAAGCACATGAGAAATTGGAAGCAGAAGGAGAGTATGAAGTTGATTATGAGTTTGATGAAGAAGAAGGATTTGATGATGACTATAATGGAGAAGAAGATGGGAATAATACATTTGATGATGGTGGTGAGAATGATTCGGATTTATTTGACGAAGACTTGATTAGCGATGATGATGATTACTTGTTTAATGAAGAGTTACCATTTGATGGATTGGCTGATGTTGATTTTCCCGAACATAATAGAGATTTATTAGATGTTAGTGGTAATAGTAGTCTCAGCAATAGTTTTGAAAATAAAGTCATTATTAATAAAGTGAAGAATAATACTAGTAATAATAATAATCATCATAATCATAGTCATAGTCACCATCATCATCATAATCATCATCATAATAATAATAGTAATAGTAGTAGTAATGTAACCGATAATGGTGGTAAAAGAGCGGCAGATTTATTAAATTTCAATGGTAGTAATAATGATAGTGTTAATAATACACCAAAGTCGGATACGTCAGTTGCAACTATTTTATCATCATCGTCTACATCATCATTACCAAATTTTAATAATAATAGTCGCAGTCCGTCCTCAACTTATACTAATAATTTTAAAAAATTATGTAGCAATAGTAGTGTAGATTATGATGATTATAGTCATAATGATGATAATAATGATTATGATAAGGATGCAACAACAACGACATCATCCACCCAAAAACATATGTTATCATCATCATCATATTCACCGCATGAAATGGAAGAATTTCTTAAGAAACATCGACATGAGCTTAGAATAGCAAGTGATGCAGGGAAAAAGGAAACAAGGCTTTTAGCCCAATTTACAATAGACATTAGCAACTCTAAGCAAGATTTTATTAATAATAATGCATCATCAACAACGCTGACAAGGGAGATAAATGTGACTACATTCAATAATTACTTGAAAGAATTAGAAAGTATATTAGATATTAAAGAAAAAAGTCTATCAGAATTGAGAAGTAAGATTAAACAACTTAAAAAACGATGATGGTAAAACAATTTGTGTAATTCTTGGATGTAAATTTGAATTATTTAATGGATGATTTAATGAATAATGAATGAATGATTAGCGAATGGATTGAATTAGATATTAATGAATGATTGTAATTGAATTTAATGAGATTAGATGAATTAAAAACAAAATATTTGCATCAAGTTTATTTAAAAGAAACATTAAAACCATTTCTTGCATAAAACAACACAAAGAATTGAAAAAATGCTAAACGAAATCATTGAACATTTAGTAATCAATCCCAATTGTAATTACTGTATATATAATAAATAATAATTAGTAATGGCTGTGGGGTGTTAATGATAGTAGTAGTAATATTGTAGTAATATTATTATTATTTTCTTCCTTAAATTTTTATTTCTATTAGAAAAAAAAAAATGTTAGAAAAAGAAAGCAGAATGAAGATGTGCTATTATCCAACAAAAAACTGAAATCCTTAGAAGAAAAATAATCTCATTGTTACATATTGATTTATTTTTTCCTTTTAATTCTTCTAATGACATAAACATACAATTATAAAATCTAAAAAAGTTATATCTACTATTCATAAATAGATTTATCATCATAATTTCTTTTATTATTTGAAATATTGTTTTTATATTCATCAGCAGCTTTGTCAAATCTTTATTACATTTATAATCAGGAAGAATGTAAATCTTATTTTTATCATAATACTGCAGCTGCTTTTTTATAGTCATTGGATTATCATCAATAAGATATCAAAAGCCATAACATTTTCTCTAACTTACATCTAAAGGAAAATAACTATCATTTTCTTTGATAGTTGGAATGAATTTCAATTTATACAGAGAAAATTACTTTCTTATTTCCAATCAAGGTCATTTCTTAGTTTTCTTAACTTCAATTTGAACAATTTGTCCATTCATTTCCTCTTTTAACTTCTTGTTTTCTCCTTCTAGTTGCTTAATTTTTTCTTCTAAACCCTTTATCTTGGCCAATAATTCCTTTGTCTCTTACTCCACTCTTCAGATTTTTCTTGAAATTTGGTCACTTCTATACATGAAATTGAAACTATTTTGACCATTTGCAGATCTGGTCAAAATAGGGTCGAAACAAGGTTGAAGCTGATTTTTACTATGTAGACTGGTCTTCCTTGTGACTTACTAATTGCAGGATTTTCCAATACATCAGGAAGAGCAGAAGACAATTTTTCCAACTGAGTACAAGCAGCAGCTTGTTGATGCGGTGGCTAGAATTGGTATTGTTGTGTAAGAGATTGAAAAGAAGCCAAAGATCAGTGTGGTAACCATTGACAGAACGTGTAAGACCTCCTAAAAATTCAAGATGGTGACATTGGATCCACCAGTGTTCATGGATATCAGCTTGCTGCAATGTTTGATTATTTGTTATGTGTTCATTGATGAGATGTGAACATGGAAGACCCATCATGGACCTGTGCAAGGATCTAGAGACGAATCTGGAGTTGCATTTGATGCCTTAATTGACTCATCATGGATCTTCTGCAAGGCAAAAGCAGATATATGATACAAAAGAGGTTCAAACAGAGCTATTTGGTACATATGTCATACTCTTAGACATTCAGAAGAGATCATTGCATGGATTTCCCTTGCCTGAGATTTTACTTGCAATATGATCTTATGATGTACTGATTCAAAATTACCTGTGGATGTTTGCAAACACTTTTTAAGAGCAGCATGTGCACCTTCTATTCATGAAGTTGCTTTGTTACCAAGATGCAAGTAACAATCAGCCCAGACAGAAACAAAGAATTCTTTATGTATTAACTAGGTTTCTTGAAGATACTGCAGGACATTGGGTTTACTCATAACATTTTAAAAATTCATTCCATTGGGTTGTGAAGTCTTGTTCAGTAATAGATACTGTGACTGCTTTCCACAATCCAATGAACTCAGTCCAATGTAAGGTTGCTTGCTGAAACCTCTTAATGACTGTTGAAACTCTGTTGAAACTCTAATGAACAATTAGTATATACCTTGTCAAAACTCTGTCAATTGACAAAACCCCCAAATGTGAAACTCTGCTGAAACTCTAACAAACAATTAATGTGTAACCTGTCAAAACTTTGTCAATTGATTTCTGGAGGAGTTTTGCCCACAACCTTAGTTCAATGTTCTTCTGTAACAAAGTGATATTTACATTTGGCTAAAATGTTCTTGTTTATGTGCCAAATACATAGAAGATGGTGAGCATCAGGAAAGTCTCTACCAATGGCATTCATCAGTGACAATGATGTTAGGATAAGGCATTCCATTGAAGATATTTGAAATACAAGTTAAGTCGCATTCATAATCTGCTTC